AACACCTTGTATGTTTTTTTTTTTTTTTTTTTTTGCACAATCTGAAGTCATGGGGGCATAGAAGGCCCCCGCGCGACCCTCCTCGCGCCCCGATCCTGACCACCCTGATGCCCACGTGGCGGCTGAACGCGTGAACGGCCCCCGTGAGCGGCCGTTCACGGAAACAGGGCCCGGTGACCGGCCGGTCACGTTCATGTAACCGGTTCCGATCACGTTCACGGGTCCGGCACTGCACACACACATATACGCACACACACACACACACACACACACACACACTCTCTGTCTCTCTCTCTCTCTCTCCTCTCTCTCTCCGCTTTCTCTCTATCTCTCTCTCTCTCTCACACACACACAGACACACACACAATCAATCAATCAATCAATCAACCAAACCAATCAAGATCCTATCGAATCGATTCACAGAGCACACACTGTGACGAACCACTTTCTGTAACGCGCGAATTTCTGCGCGGTTGCAATTAGGGGTCCTAAGTTGGGAAGGTTGGGCCAATTACGGGAGATCGGGATCGGTGGGAAATTGCATCAGTGTCCTTGCTTTTTCGTCTTTTTCATCGCTTCTTTTCGAAAGACTGGGTTCGGAGCTGTGTGTGTCCTAGGACGGCCGGTTGATTGATTGGTTGACCGAATGGCTGGCGCGCCACCGTGCGGGCGATTAATAAATATTAACGTCATTTCTTTTGTTTCGGTACCAAACTTTTGGGCGCGAACATCGCGTGAGAATTTGCTTCGTTCTTTTTGAATTTTTCTTTTAAATCTTTTTCGGATCTTGTCGAGCCTCGATGACTCTCGGAATTTCGGACTTTTTTGAATTTGTGCTTTTTGCCTCTTCGCATTAGATAGGACTTTAGGAATTTTGTAATTAGGATTTTTCCTGCCGCGCCCCGCTTTTTGTCTATGTGCTTCTTCATGCGGCTGCAACGGAACTCTGATTAGTAGGCGCCCTTAATCGTGTGTGTAACTGTAATTTTGGGCGGGCGCCATTATAACAGTATCTTTCTTCTTGCGCTTCGTCTTTCCCGCCCTTCTTCTCTTTTCTCTTGCTACGTTTTTGGTAGCCGCGATCTGCATGATCGGACCGATGCGTGGAGAGCGGCTATGTCCCCCACGCCGCGATCAGACTATGCAGACGTAGGCAATCCCTCCCCCTTCCCTTCTTCTAAGTCCTTGTAATTCCGTGTTCTTTGCGCATGCATGCACGCTATAAATTATGGCTGCGCGATTAGTTAACTCTCTTAACCAGCTGTTGGAAGCTCGGGGTTGCGCGATCAGGAAGGGTCGGCACACGAGCGAAGTAAGAGGTGAGTAGAGCAGGAGTCGGGCGACCCGACGAGCTGGTGCCAAACGCGCAAGGTTGACGCGGGCCACGACGGACTGTGGGCGCGGGCGAACTTGACGGGTGCGGGAGGACTAAGCGGGGTGACGGCTTCGTGGGTTGGTGCGCGACGACGGACCGTCCGCATCGGGGAAGAAGAGAGAGAGGAAGAGAGAGTTGAGGTTGATGGATGCGGAGTTGCTGTTTTCTTTATCTTTCCTCCCTCCTGTCTCGTGTATATAAGTTTTGATTTCGGCGCTGGGCGGTTTGCCCGATCTTTGTTTATCGAAATTTGGACTTGGGTTTTTGCTCACACTTGTCCTTGTGATTCTTCCCACCTCCGAGGCACTGTGTATGATTGTTGAATGTATGGATGTATGGATGCCATGATTGATTGCTTATCTTTCTGCCGGATCCTTGTCTTTGCCTTGTGTTTATCGCATTCGATGCACTCGTGTGTAAAATAGGAATTTTGCGCAATCGATAATCCTGTCCTTGCCTTGCTTGTACTTTGATCAAGCTGTTGTGATCGTTGCATCTTGCATACTCAGAACATCACGGAGTAATTAGACGATCGGATGTCGGGCTTGGCGAACGCCGCGCAAGGACACGTGTAAAGCGTGATCTGAGTTGCGCACTTACGCGTATCCCCGGGGGTCGACTCGTCCGGACCATCGATCGTCGATGCCCTACCTAATTGGGAGTGGCCTTCCCGGAATCGGCGGCGGCGCAGTCGTCCCGCACGAGCACACGTAAGTCAGACGCCCTTCGCGTAGCCTGCACGTGTTCGCACGCGACGACCGCGATCACCACGGACCCGCCCTGAGACAATTCATAATACCGCAATGACACAATGACGCGATCCTGGAATTCCGGCTCATCATACGACCCGGATTACTTCACCCCTTGGATAAACGAAATCCTGAGGCAGAGATACCCCTGCCACTCTTAGAATCGACTGTGCCACTGCGCCACCTCTAGCGACCCCCGGTGTTCTGATTTCCCTTCTCCGGACTATACCTATTACTTTATCCACCCCGGATTTGTCGTCATCACCACCAGTTTCCCTCCCTTTCGCCTTCTTCTTCCGTATCATCAACTCAACGTCGTTCCGTGGTCGGCCATAGCCCCCTACCGGCCCAGCACACCCTGCGAGAATTGCCGACGACGCGGCGATCAAAGAACCCCGGAGTTCCGGAGGCGTAACCCGAACGCGCGCCGACCAGCGCCACATGGCAACTCCCGACAGACAGGCTCATCGGAATCCCACCGACCCCGAAGGGACCAGCCCGCGAGCCACCGTCCCCGAAACCAGTGGCTCGCTCGGTCTTGACCGACCCTCGCATACCATTTGCCCTGTAACCCGAACACGCCCTCTGCGCCAAATCACACTCGTGCCCCCGACAGACCCTGTCACAGGAGATCTCAGTTCCGACCTGGGACTCCATTCTCCCAAAAATCCTTGGCACACCCCTTTTCGCACTTTCAGGCCCCCAACCTACGCCGATCAGGAAGTCGAGTTGGGCGTGAGGTTGGGCGTCACTTATGTACACACACACACACACACACTCTCTCTCTCTGTCTCTCTGTCTCCCTCTCCTCTCTCTCTCCGCTTTCTCTCTATCTCTCTCTCTCTCTCACACACACACACACAGACACACACATAATCAATCAATCAACCAATCAGCCAAACCAATCAAGATCCTATCGGATTGATTCACAGAGCACACACAGCCTTCGGGCATATATGTAGCTTGCGAATTATACATGGCCTATAGGCTACATACACAAGTTCCACACATAGTGCTGTCTGTACATCTTCATGCATAGATACACGAAGCATACACAGCCTTCGGGTATACACATACATTGCGAACTACATACCTATCAGACCGGGGAGGTCTAGTCACTGGGTGGGGTCTAGTATCTGCTGTAGGGACAGGTATGGGCCACCAGAGTTCCTACTGATATTCGGGTAGAACTGTCTAGTGGCTATATATAAGGCTTAGATCCTGGGGTAAGGTTAGGGGTATAAGTCGCTCAGGCAAGTCCGAGTTCCGCCTGGCCTTGGGTAAGCTAGGGGAAGGAAGGTAAGACTGCTTCAATGGGTGCTACCCTGTCTGAAACCTAGGGCCCAGAGTTTCTTAGGGCCTGTAGTAGATTGTCTGGGCCTGGCGTCCGAAGTTCCCGTTAGACAAGGCTCGTCCGATTCCGCTTCCACCAGGGCTGGGCAACCTATCAGCCCTGGTACCTATCACTGCTGCTCGGTCCAAGTTACCTGCCAATTGGTAGGGTAATGGTCCTGAGTGCTGGTCACACTGAGGTAGGATAGTGGGATAGGGGGTGCGCTAGGAGTATTGACGTGAGGAGGGGATGGGAGGTGGTCTCATATTCCAGGACACCCACGGCCTACTGCTCCAGGTGATCACTAGTACCTTTGCCGCTTGGGAAAATAGCGGGCCTTGGGTGGGCCTCCGACCTTTTCGGATGGCCGAATCGAAACGACCGCCGTCGATCAGATTTATCAATGACAGCCGTCATCGGGCCCGGCCTCCGAATTTTCAGGAGTTTGGGAAAACAGCCACTTTTGCCTAATTTCCCAACACTGGTGGAGGTACTAGTAAGAGAAAAAAAAAAAAAAAAAAAAAAAAAGAATTAGACTTTTTGAAAGAAAGGAAAAAGAAAAAAACTTTTCAACCAGTCCTGCACGGCAGGGCATGATGCCCTAAACACACGTTGTTCAGAATCACTGTGAGGCGCCTGTGAACCAGCAGGCGAGTTAGCCCGCAAGAGTGAGCAGGTTTGGTAGCGGTGGTGGGGCTACATGTGTTCGATGGAGTGTGCGTGATTGGTAGTCCGTGGTGCGGTGTGCGTTGGGTGTGTGGTGTTGAGTTCAAGGACGCTGCAGTCCTGGAGGTGGGCTGGATATCACGACGGATCCAGTTTTTATAACACCTCCAAGGGTTGTAGTGGTTACGATACTTCGTTCCTGTGGCGGAGGGTGCCTCTTCGAGGCCGTCCGTGCACGGCAGGGCATGATGCCCTAAACACACGTTGTTCAGAATCACTTCGGGATATACGGTAAAATTGGAAAGATACAGAGAAGGGTACTTAGCATGGCCCCTGCGGAGGGATGACACTTATTAACCGACTTTTGATCCGCGCTGGCGCCTCTTGCAGGGGTTAGTCGTCAGTTTGTCGTTCTAGAGACTACATGTATGCGGACTGGCTACAGTAGAGGGGACTAACTACAGGTTTCTCGACTCACGCACGCGACGAAGACCGGAATCGACGCTAGGAATCTCGGCGGTGACGATGGCGATGGCGATGACGGTTTTGTGTTCAGCTAGTTTCCATTCAACTTCAGAATCAGGAGTCGTTACACGTCAGCGGCAAAGTGCAGAATCTGCTGGCTGTTTAGGAAGAGTGATGACGTCCCTAGTCTCTCAGAATGGACAACGAGAGTCCATTCGCGTTTCTCCTCTTTTGGCACCCGCTTATGGTTCGAGGCATTTTCTTGAATGCACAGAATCTGATCTGCATCATCTCAGCTCGGCGTCGAACTCTGGACCGCTGAAGATGGGGTTCGGCTCTGGGAGGTTGAACACGCATTCCCCCCTCTCCAAGGGGTTCTGCTTCGCGGCGTCGCAGGCCGAAGATACCGAGGGGAGGAAGAATCCTTTGCGCTTTTTGCACTGGTTTCGTTCGAAGAGAAGCATTCTCCTTCCTTCGCGAGACAAAGCGAGAGAGTTAAACTCTGGGTCTGGGGAAAAAGGGAAGTGCAACGTCTATTATACTATGAAGGAGGGTGACACGCTGGACAGTATTGCGAGCCAGCTCGACGTTCGCAGGCAGTTTGTGATCGAAGTCAACGATATCCCGGACACGACTAACTTGACTCCTGGTCAGGTTCTGTGGATTCCGCACGTGTACGTAGTGAGGAGGGGTGACACGATAGAGAGCATTGCAGACAAGTTCGGCGTACTGATGTCCAGGCTGGAGGAGATCAACAACTTTCAGGAACCCGATTCGATATTGGACGGGGATGCGGTGATCATTCCGCCCATGACCGATGAGAGCAGGGCTGGAGTGAAAGAGCATGAGGGAGAGGGAGAGGGAGAGGGAGAGGGCATTGGTATGACAACTGGAGAGAGAGGAGGTGCGCCGGAAGGACGTGGAGGCGATGGGGAATCGGGACCCCAGGGACGAGGAGGGGAGGGGGGCAGGGGAGGAGAAGGACGAGGCAGGATGGGAGGAGGATCGATATCTCCCACGACGGAACCAACGGGTACCGCAGGGCAGGGAGGAGGGGGGGCAACTTCCAAGACGGGAACGACGGGGAGGGGTCCCACAGGGCAAGGAGGATCGACATCTCCGACGACAGGTACCGCAGGCGGCTAAGGGGAAGGAGGAGTTGAGCGGGGGGGCGCGTCGACCTCCGGAGCGAGGGGGGATCGAGCGCAAGAACGTGGAGGAGAGAGGGGGTCCCCGCACGCCAGCGAGGAGTAGGGGAGAGTAGGGGAGAGTAGGGGAGAGTGGTGGTGGAGAGGCGGGAGGATCAACATCTTATGGGGACCACCCGTAGGGTAGGGGATCCACTGGCCGCGGAGGAAGGGGAGCGATCGGTACCCCAGGGTTGGGACGAGGAGAGAGAGAGGTGGTTCATCTTGTCCCAGCACGGGGGGAATGGGTATATGAGGGCAAAAGGGGGCTGCAGAACTAGGAGAAGGAGAGGGGTTTGTTTCTTCCTCCACCTCTTCGGGTCTCGAGAGGGGGAGCGGAACGGGGAGGGGAGGAGCGCAAGGCAGGTGCGTGAAGGAAAGGGTTGTGTCTCAGACCACGACCATCACGAGCACCATCATCACCGAGGCGAAGAACGCTTCGACTATATGAAGGAATTGGAAGCTGAAACTGCAAATGCCACAGCTGTGAGTCCCACAGGAGGATGTATGTGCCCGTTCCAGCGACTGTCCGAATGTGAGGCAGGAGCTGGTAAGAGGGTAATGACGACGTCAACACAAGGCTGCTAGGCAGCAAGGAGCCGCTGGAGATGTGCAGAATACAGAGCTGCATTGCAGCCGGTTGAGGGTTGGTTGTTGGAACCTTGCCCAAGGATCCCGTGCTTCCCGATGCAAAGACAACCATAAATTTTGAAATGGAATCTAAGAAATCTCCCTCATCGGCGGAAGAGCTTTTCACGGAGAGAGAGAGAGAGAGAGAGAGAGAGAGAGAGAGAGAGAGAGAGAGAGAGAGAGAGAGAGAGAGAGAGAGAGAGAGAGAGAGAGAGAGAGAGAGAGAGAGAGAGAGAGAAAGAGAGAGAGAGAGAGAGAGAGAGAGAGAGAGAGAGAGAGAGAAAGAAGGCTCAGAAGGGGGGGAGAGAGAGTGAGGTGATAATTGGGAAAGCGAACTCAAAAACAGATCCGAAATATGAATTGTATTATTGTAAATGTAAAATACATTGCCTATAAATCTCGACGAATGGTTGGAAGAGCTCCTAACGATGAGATGATTGCGAGAGACAGAGGACAGTGAAATTCAGGAGCGTCATCACGAATGAGATCCCGAGCTCTTACAGTCTTATAGATAGGTGTAGAGCTCGCGCATACGGACACACACACACACACACAAGGGCAAGCCCACACAGACACACTCACAGATTGACACAGACACGCACCCACAAACGCAAACCCACATATACACACACAGAGCCCCGCACCCACACATTTCCACAGACGTGCACAAGCGACGCTCACACACACACACACACACACACACACACACACACACACACGAAACCTCCTGATGAGTCGATGAGGGTCCGGTGGAAAACTCTGACACAGTCGTGCCTTTTTTCTTTGTGTGTGTGGAGTTGTGAATAGCGAACATGACAACTCACGCAGAGGAATACAAGCGCACATTTAACGGGATACGGCCTTTTTCAGCATGGACTGAATGTCATTGAGGGAATACTTGAGAAGTGTTAGGGTTGTAATTTCACTATCATACTTTTTTTTGCGGCGTTTACTATATTCTTGACGATGAAGCAAGCAACCCAACTGCATTAATATTGTTGGGAAACATTGATGAAACATTGTTTAATATGTCCTCTTCACTTTCTCAACTAAGCTTTAGTCTTCACCCTGTAGGCTGTAAGCAATGCGTGGTGCCAGACTACGATAGGTTGGACTCCTCTGTTGTTCCAGGGCATTTAGAAATCTATGAATCGTTTTTTTCTTTCTTCCCTTTCTGACAGTGGCATCGTCAGTGTGAAGCTATCAAGATTGGTCGACTGTGGCACCGATATCACCCCCTCCCAACGCATTCATGGTGAATGCATACAAACGATGTTTCTGGTCAGATACCGCATGATGATGTTGCGTTGCATTCGGCGGTATTGGGAAGTGATCACCACTGTTGAGTGTGGCATTGCGGTAGTAATGCATTCGAGATTGGAGTGATGAAAACTGTGTGAGTGATCAAGAGAGGCCAGGTGAAATGCGCGAGACAGGGTAGTGTTGCCCAATTTGATTGCGGAAAGGATGACACGMAAAAATCGARAAATGGTMAAAAAAAAAAAAAAAAAAAAAAAAAAGGTAAAAAAGAGTAAATCGAAGTCCGACTTAGTCAGCTACATGTGGGGTGGTGGTAGTTGACGGCTTTTGAGAAAGTGTTGAGGCTCTCCGGAACGAGTGCTCGAGAGTGCGAATTGCTTCACTGAGTCCACTGGCGTACGCAGGGGAAAATGACCCACTATCAGCTTTTTATATGTTATGGGTTGGATTGCGCCCCTGCTCGCAGACACAAGTCACAGATTGAACTTCATCACCATTTGATTGCACTTTGTTTTTCGCCTTGCTAACAAACTTGTGTGGCTTGTTGCTTTCATTGCCTTCAGACTGTGTGCCGGCCGTGTGCTCTCGATGCAGGAAGGTGGTGGTGACTTGTTGTTTATCTAGGAGGAGGAGGAGGAGGAGGAGGAGGAGGAGGCACGCTTGGCTGTTTTTGCGTGCGAGAACGTTTGGTGAATTTCGTTTCTTGAGATTGAATTTTGAATTTCGCTCTTGTGCTTGTGGGTATGGCGAGGCACTTGTCACTTGTGCAGGCAGCCTGAGGCCCTGAGGGAGAGTCGTGGCTTCTGATTCTTTCTCGTCGTTGTGTAGTTTCGAACGTCAAACAACTTTGTTTGTCGTGCGTTATAGATGGCATCGATCATGAATGTCGTGGAGTCGATCACTGTATGACGTCGATTACTGATGATGAGGAACGTCGATCGTTGATGACGTGCATGATTGATCACAGCCGAGCTCTAAAGTCGATGTGACCTACCGGTAGTGGAGATTGTCCATTGCACAGGAACTTAGCAGCCTTAGCTTGTGCTGGGACTCTGGGAGGAGTTCGCGTCGCAAGCTCGACACGTTGGTGCATGTCGATGTCAGGGCAAGGAAATGACCAGTTTTTTTTCCCGGTATACACTCGAGAGGCTGATTATACATTCCTGCGTGGCGCGTCCAAAATTGTGAAAGTGGAACTGCTCTCTCTCTCTCTCTCTCTCTCGCTCTCCCTCGCTGTGTGTGTGTGTGTGTGTGTGTGTGTGTGTGTGTGTGTGTGTGTGTGTGTGTGTGCCTGTTTCCTTGTGTGCTTGGCTAACGACTTACATGGTGGCTGTATGATGACCACTTCTCTATAGAATTTGGAGTCGCAGAGACCACACTGAAAATAGGTGTTCAAGTGTATGCAGGGAGACGAAGCTGGCAAAAAGTGGAGTGAGGGGGGGGGGGGTGCGATTGCGCGCACGGGCGCGCAGGAGGGAGTTGGGATCAGGGCAGTGGAGAGGGAGGTTTTATGCGAAGCTCTCGAAATGCCACTTCGCTCAACCCAAAGTCGTGGGGGGTTTTATGCGAAGCTCTCCAAATGCCACTTCGCTCAACCCAAAGTCGATTTCCTTGGGCATCAGGTCTCCGAGCACGGACTCCACATGGACGACTCGAAGATTCAAGCCATTGTGAACTGACCCACTCCTACCTCTCTTCCTGCGCTGCGTAGTTTCCTTGGGTTGACCGACTACTATGGTCATTTTCTTCAAAACTACGCGCAATATTCTTCCCAGCTTACCCCTCTGACCCGCGGACGTCTACCTTTTCATTGGACCCCAGCTCACGAGGATGCTTTCCGCTCTCTCAAGCGGCTTGTCACGTCAGCTCCTGTCTTACACTTACCCGACTACTCGCGTCCATTCATCGACCACCGACGCATCTGACTTCGCTATTGGAGCTGTTCTCTCCCAGATCTATCCAGCCCCCTCTACTCCTCCCGATTCCACAGAGTCCCGTCTCCCTCGCATTCCTCGCTTCCTTCCTCCACCTCCAGCGACTGCAGCTCATCTTGCACCCATCGAGCCCACCCCCCCAGGGGCCCCACCCCCTTATATTCCTGATGTCGCTGATGACGGTACAGTCGAGTCTCGCGATGGAGAATGTCCTGTTGCTTATCTATCTCGACAGCTACTTCCCGCTGAGCGTAACTATACTGCCGACGAGCATGAGGTCCTTGCGCTGGTCTACGCTGTTAAGAAGTGGCGTCATCATTTGCACGGTCATACCTTCACCGTTTTGACGGACAACTTTGTCCTTGCCGCCTTCCAGATGAAGCCTAAGCTCACTTCTCGTCAGGCTCGTTGGTGGCATGACCTCTCGGAGTTCGACTTCACCATCAAGAAGATTTCCGGCGAAAGCAATCGTGTTGCAGATGCCTCCCGTCGCCCCGACCTTCAGTGCGAGGATCGTCGGTTGTCTGCTATCTCAGCTCCCACCATCCACCCCGCCTTTCTGGACGAGTATCGCCGCGCATACACCCAGTGCCCTGAGTTTCAGTCCATCTACGCTGACCTACAGGCTGGCAAGTCTGTCCCTAACTTTCAGCTTGATCCCTCTGGACTCCTATATTGGCTTGTTCGCCAAGGTACTCGTACTCCCCACCTATGTGTGCCCTCTACTGGCCAGCTCCGTGTTCGGGCCGTCGGTGAGTATCATGACCAGCGCGCCGCCGGTCATCTCGGTGTCTTCAAGACACTTGACCGCCTCTACCGCCATTACTACTGGGAGCACCATCGTCCTTTCACTAAGGAGTACGTTCGGACTTGCAGGATCTGCCAGGAGGCCAACATTCCCAACCACCTCCCCTATGGTCTTCTTCATCCCTTACCCATTCCTACTCAGCGTTGGACTTCTGTCTCCATGGACTTCATTGGTTCTCTTCGTCCCCCTACCCCACGAGGCCATGACACCATCTTTGTCGTTGTTTGTCGGTTGACTAAGCATGCTCACTTCCTCCCACGCAAGTATGCTAGTTCAGCCAAAGACATCGCCTCCCTTTACTTCAACCGTATTGCCATCCATCACGGTCTTCCCACCAGCACGCGATCCCCGCTTTACTTCTCATTTCTGGCGTGGATTCCATGAGATCTATGGCTCCG